TCCACCAGTATATACGAATTAGTTTTAATAAACTTAATTTTATTATATCCAATTGCAATGTACAAATACAATGAGCACCGACAGTACATAAGACAAAATAAGTATTTTTTGTTTGTTTTTTATGAATTTCAAAGTGGGGGGGGGGAGGGAGGCAGAGGGAAGGAAATGTTCCATCCAATGGTTCACTCCCCAAATGGCCGCAACAGACAATACAGAGACAGGCTGAAGACAGGAGCTTCATCCAGGTCGCCCATGTCAGTGCAAGGGTCCAAGTACTTGGGCCATCTTCCACTGCTTTCCCAGGCATTCTAACAGGAAGCTGAATCAAAAGTGGAGGAGCCAGGATTCAAACCAGGACTCATATAAGATGCTGGCACTACAGGTGGAAATTTAACACACAACACCACAATGTTGGCCCCATAACCACAATTTTTTAAAAAAGATTTGTTCCTTTTTTAAAAAATTTTGGGGTGTGTATATGGAGCATGGTCTCTGTGGCTATTTATTTATTTATTTTTATTGCAACATCAGACATACACAGAGAAGGAGAGACAGAGAAGATCTTCCGTCCGATGATTCACTCCCCAAGGGACTGCAATGGTCAGAGCTGTGCCGATCCAAAGTTAGAAGCCAGGAGCCTCTTCCAGGTCTCCCACGCAGGTGCAGGATCCCAAGGCTTTGGGCCATCCTCTACCGCCTTCCTAGGCCACAATCAGGAAGATAGGTGGGAAGCGGGGCTGCCAGGATTAAAACCCGTGTCCATATGGGGTCCTGGCACAATCAAGATGAGGGCTTTAGCCTCTAGGCCACCATGCCGGTCCCTGTTTGTTTATTTTCAAGGCAGAGTGACAGAGAAGGAGGAGAGAGACAGACAGACCTATCTAGTAGTTCACAACTGAAATGCAAGCAACAGCCAGGCCCAAACCCCAAAACGCCATCCAGTCTTCCCGGCAGGGAGCAGGCCCCCGACTACCTGGGCCACCATCCTCCAAGGCACACTATACAAAGCTGAACTGGAAGACTAGGAGTAGCCCGCACTGTGGTAGGGAACGCAGGCACCACAAGAGGCAGTGTAGCCCACTGCACAACAGCCCCAATCAAGCACTATTGCTTGTCAAATGTGCCAAGTGCCATCTTACATTTGAGTTCACAAGAAAACAAAGAAACGCCCACTAGAGAGAACCACACCAGAGCCAAGCAGCACCTCAGAGGTGCTACCCTCTGCGTCTCACTCGGTTGGCTCTGCCAGTCTCGCCTGTTGCCTTCAGCAGGGCGGTGAAGGGAATCCCAGAAGGCTTATTCCTCATGTCTTTCAAGGCCATGCACCAAATGCCAGCTCCAGCAATACCGCTGAGTGAATTAATGAAAACACCAGCGTGTGGCTTCATCTTCATAGGTCCTACATACCCTCAAGGGAGTCGCAACTTTGTGATTGATGACCACTCCCCATCTTCCCATTCACTGAGATGAGTTCTTAAACAGAAGGTATAAATCAACAACCTATCTGCCGTGCAAGAACGTGACATCTTTGAAAAGCAACGTACTACTTATAGCGCTATACCGTAGGAATCATCTCTTCACACAACATACAACCAGTTCTACTGCTGTTGTTGTGACAGGGAGGGGAAAGGTACACACAAGTGAGCCAAGTCAAAAGGGACATTTGGGAATTGAAAGGAATCCAGGAGTGGATCTCATCAAACCTTCCAGAAAAGCCCACAAGGTGGATTTTCCCTTTTCATGCTAACTTGACTATTTTCTCCTTGCTTATTCAAAAAGCTGTGCACGTGGCCTTACTACTTCTAGCTGTCAGCAGAGAAAGAGATGCTGGTACGGCCTGCAGGGATGCCAGCCAAGTCCTTCCCCATAGACCTGACAAGTGTGAACATGGCCTTGCAGACGTCATCATGATGGGGGAGAGAGGTACGTGGCCTCCCAGGAAGATTCTGCTTATCAGCTGGAAAACAGATGTTTTGGTTTCAATTGCAACCCCAGCTAGACAAATTATACTTGATGATCTTTTGACTTAACAGAGAAAGATACATTCTGCATTCCCCAGAACCAAATACCTAATCCAAACAGATTTTATCTTGTCTCAATTTAGAGGCTGGTAAAGCAAATGAAATTGTCACTCTGGTCTCATATTCAAGCAATTCCACAAATACTGGAGCCTAACCCTGTGCCAAGAATCAAGTCAGGGACCACACCAGGTAATAGACAGAACTATTTTTTTATTCCCAGTTACCACTATTCCCCTAAATGGAAATCAATTTAAAAAAAAAATGTTTGAAATATTAAGAAACCATCTCTGATTCTCTTCATCTAGAATCTCTAAACGAGAGCATTAAAAGCAACAGCTAAGATTAGAGAGCTGCTGCTTCAGCTTTCCCATCTTCATCTGATTGAAAGTTGTTAAAAATAGCACCTTCACCTTTCTATTTCTCCTCCCTTCCGCTCCCTTCCAAACTAAAAAGCTGAAGGGGTGACATCCAGTCCATGGACAATAGACACACAGCTCACTTGTCCTCTCTCTCTTCCAGATTCTAACAAGAAGAAGTCAAATGCCGATTAAAAAAGAAAAGGAGGCACGCATCATTATTCTTCCCAAGCTCATGAGAGGACAGCTTGTTCCAGTCCCTTCAGTAAAATTCTCAGAGTCAAAACTTGGAATATCTGCCCGTGTGTGTGTGTGTGTGTGTGTGTGTGTGTGTGTGTGTGTGTAAACTAGTCAAAATTTGGGGATGGGCTTATTTTAATAGGACCCTAGTAGCAGAGTGGCATGGTGGAAGTGTCCTGGGCAGGTAATGAAGAGATTGATGCATCAAAAAATAACATCCTGCACACAGAGAAATTCATTTTTATTTCTCAGAAATGGGGTTTTGCATGATCACACAAAGATTATGCATAAGCAAGCAAGTCAATATGAACATAAGAAAAAAAAATCAATGATGTATGACACACTTTTGCTGAAAACTGATAAGCAAAAAGTAGACAAAACCACCCCCAAGGGAGGACTGCTGGCTGCCTTCCTCGGGCCAGTTTAACACTGGTGGACTGTCGGAACCTTCGCAAGAGAATATGCAGTGCACTCCTAGAACTGAACTGTTTTTAAGACCTTTTCTTCCTCCCCTCCTAAGAGTGGGATTATTCCACTGCCCTTGTGAAATTTGTGGACGCATAGTCAAAGAAATAAAACAGATCTATATGGCAAAGCAAATGTTGGATGGATGGCAGGTTAAGAAAACAAATCTGCAATCCACTAATGCGGGTACAAGCTGTTGGTAAAGTGGTACAGAAATTAATTTGTTACCCTCCCACCTTGAGCCCACAAATGTTCATTCACCTACACCTAGGCCGTATCTGCCTGGAGCTTACACAGTCACCAGTGCTCAGCGCCACTTTCCCTGAAGGGTTGGGTGGGCTTGCCACCTCAGGGGCAGCAAGGTGCTACAATTTGAAAATGTCAGAACACACCCAGTAAAAATAAAGAGCAGAAGGCTCAGATACACCTGGCTTCCTTTTCAGACTCTAATCACTTAAGTAGCCTTTCCCAGGTGCTAATTATTCTCAACGAAACTTCCAATGAAATCCACACAGACAACAAGACACAGCCATATACTGTACTCAATCAGCTAAGCAACTCAGAAAATCAGCTCTTGGGACACATCCCGCAAACCAACTTGCAGAACCCCTTGCACGGGGCAGGATGCAGGACCTGAGACCATCCCCCTAACCTGCGACAGCTGTGAGTCCGGTAAAATCCACCAGGAACGTGGAAGTCGCTGACCTCCACCAAGGAGCAGCAACACACAATCTTTGACTCCGCTCGCTCCGTTCACAAGGTCGTGCATTAGCTGCCATCCCCACCCTCCCCCAGCACAAGACCAACGCTGTAACTTCACATCCACCAAGATGAACCTCAAACGTACAGCTTAATACTAACAAACCAAGCCCTAGCCCAGCGATTCCAGACCGAGAACGCCTGCAGAGAATCTCGGCACAGCCTTCGGTGCAATTCCTAGAAGGAGGTGGCCCATCCCTGCCAGGGCCAATCTGCAATCAAACTCCCTGTGTCCTGCGACCAGGAGGGGCCTGCGTCCCTCACCGGGGACTTCAGCTCCGCAGGGCCACAGTGCTTCTTCCGGGACACCTGCGACTTAGGGTCACGGTGCGGGAACCGGTCGCAGCCCCCTGCCGAGAAAGATTTGCCCCGGACCACAATAAGCAGCGATGGGGAAATCACAAATATTGGAACGAAAGCCGGGGCTTGCATAATTGCGTGCGTGCGCACACACACACACCACACACTCCCACAAGTCAGTTTTCCAATACTCTGCTCCAGCCCGGTGCTGCCACTCCCCCCCCCCCAACTCCCCAGCACGAGCCCGGCCAAAATAAAGTGCAGCTGGGAGCTGCAGGGTGTCCGGGACGGCAGCGGCGTGCAGCCGCGCCCCGCACCCGCCGGAGCCCCGCGTCTCTCTCCGGCCGGGCTGCCAGGCAGGTTTAGCCCCGGCCCCTGGAAGGTTAATGCGCCCGTGCCCCGGGTCAGGGCTCTCGGAGCTCTAATAGCAAGCAAATGACCGCGGCTGCCTGGATTTAATGAAGCCATTCTCGGTTATGGCTGTTTAATAGCACTTGGAGTTCTGTTCCAAGAGAGAGCGGAACACTCCGGCTTCCCCGGAAAGCAAGTCGTCTGCGGGCAGCGCGCGGGGGGAAAAGCCAAGGTCGGACGAAGGCGCGAACACGGACAGGGGACGCCCCGCAGCCCCGGCCCGCATCTCGCCCCGCAGCCCGGCTGGCCCCGGGGCCGTGCCTTTACCTGTCAGCTCGCCGCCCCGCCGCGAGCCCCGGCCGCGGCCGCAGAGAAAGAATACCCCCCCCCCAAAGGCACCGCATCGCAAAGAAAGAAAGAGAAAAAAAAAAAAAAAAAGGTTGGTTCCTTCAAGCGAGGGCCACCGGGCCAGCTGAGGTCCCAGGACCGACACGCACCCCGCACCTACCAGATAATCCATGTACAGAAACGCCTCAGTTATCCGGAGATCAGACATCCGGCAGCCTAAAGCATCCGGAACGGCTCCGAACCCGGAAAAAAAAAAAGGCAGCGTCTCAGGCTGCGAGCGAGCAGCTCCTGAAAAAACCAGCAACAGCGAAAACCACCGAGAGCGGCCGAGGAGCCGAACCTTACACAAGGGGCGCGGCGATTGGCCGGGAGGGCGGGCCGAAAGGAAGGAGGGTGCGCATTGGCTGCCGCGGCTATAAAAGCCAGGCCCCAGCGGGCGACGGCGGAGAAGCGCGGGAGCGAATTGTTCTCCGGATTGTTGTGTGAAGGGCCGAGGGCCGGGGGCGGGGACAGCGGGGCGGGTGGCACGCGCAGTAGGCCGAATCCCGAGAGCGCAAAATCGGCGGGGGCCGCGGCCGCCTGCGCGCCTCGTGGTTGGGGCAGAGCCGCGCCTCCGGGCCCTCGGTGTCCCCGCCCATCTCCCCGAGTAGGAAGCCGCGGCTGGGCCGTGGGGAGGCGTGGTAGCCCCCGGCCGCCTTCCCAGCGGCTCCGCGGCCTGGAGGCGGCACCGCCCGGGCGCCCCGAGAGCCGAAGGAGCGGGCTTGTAGGTGACTCTGAGGCACACCGGGCGCGCGCAGCTGGGAAGCTGCTCGGGCAAGCGGAGCCGGTGCCACCCTGCACGCTGCCGCGCCGGGGACTGCCCTGCGAACTCCAGGTAGCCCACGGGGATGACACCTTCCCCCGCACGCCGTGTGGAGGGGGTGAACGAGTTCTGAGGAGTTGCTACTAAAGTTTGTGGTGTTCCCCAAGCTGTCGGAAGGGCGCAGCTGATGGGTTCTTGGCGCGCCTCGGGCCAGGGACAGCATAAACCCAAGGTCCCTGGAATACAGTCAGAGAACAGGCGGCTCCCTGAAATGACCGGAGCCAGAACACAGCTCCTCATTAGCATCCCGATGTCGTTTTAAAGCAGGTAGACTTTGATATGTGTGTATTTTTAATTTCTAGGAATACTGGCACTGGGATTGCAATGTTGCCCAATCAGAACCAAAAACCTAAGTAGGAAGACTGGAGTTTCCTTTCCTAAAAGATTTGGGGTATGAATGCCATATTCACTCAAAACGAGGCAAAAAAAAGAAAAACCCGTTTTGTTTTTCTTCTAAATTTTAGTAAGTTTGAACGGATTCAATAGAGTTTGTAGTTAAAATTTTACAAATATGATAATGTTCCTTTCCTCCCTTTCTCCCTAAGCGCTACTTTGCAGTTGGGAATAGAAGGAGGAAGATTGTAAACTAGAAAAAAAAATATACACACACGCATATATCACATGCTGGTGTCCTTTGTTCAGTAAACAGCAAGGTAGGAGTGAATAGAATTGGAATTTGGGGGCCCGGCGCGGTGGCGCAAGTGGTTAAGTCCTCGCCTTGCACGCCCGGGATCCCATATGGGCGCCGGTTCTAATCCCGGCAGCCCCGCTGGGAAAGCAGTTGAGGACGGCCCAAAGCTTTGGGACCCTGCACCCGCGTGGGAGACCCGGAAGAGGCTCCTGGCTTCGGATCGGCATAGTATCGGCCCGTTGTGGCTCACTTGGGGAGTGAATCATCGGATGGAAGATCTTCCTCTCTGTCTCTCCTCTCTGTATATCCGCCTTTCCAATAAAAAAAAATAATAAGAATAAATCTTTAAAAAAAAAAAAAGAATTGGAATTTGGAAGCCCCAAGTGCAAAAAAAATGTGTTTTGGTTTTGGTTTCCCATGATGTTCTTGAGTTCCTTGGCCCCCCACCCCCACAGGCGCTGAGAAGCTCAGAGGGTAGGGGGCTTGCTCTCAACTTAATAATTATTTGGACTTATATACAGCAGCATCTCCAGTGGGGAAACGAAATCTTTCTGAACTGACTGCCTCACTATACAGGGTTGAATGTTTCCTTTACCCCTAAACCAGCCCAGCCCTCTTGGTATCCTCAACCAACAAATTTCTGCATAGTGTATTTATCAGGGGCAGCCACACCAGTTCTGGTAGTGATAATGTGGTTTTCACTGTCTGTACACACGCAGTGAGCAAGGCCCCCTGTGCCCTTAGGGGAGCTCTGGGCTATCTAATCTTTCTCTGAAGCTGTTTCCTAAGCTGCAAAATAAGAATTCCTACTACCAGAAAACTTTTTTTTTTTTTTAAGTAGCTAGGCACTATGAGAATTTCCAACTGTGAAGGTTTGATCCAAGGGTGAGTGTGCAAATAGTAAGTTATACTTCTGCAGGAGTGTCAGCCTGTTCAGGGGCTAACACATCTCAGTTATTCTGAGCCATTAGATCTGTTGTTTTAGTTGTCTTGGTGTTCTGTTAATGCCAACACATGTTGGTTTTGAGAGATTTTGGTCTAGATTCTGGAAGTGATGGGCTTCCATAACCTGTTCTTCTGGATTATTGTATGCTGGTGGAGGCGACAAACCACATCTGACCCTGAGGTACCTCAGAATCCCAACTATTTGCTTAGCCTAAGTGACTCCATTTTGATAGAGCCACCATCTTAATCGCTAGGTTGTACAAGTCTCATTTCTGGAGAATGTTGCAGGCCACGATAACAGGAAATTCCTCAAGGTCCCCTTTTTTAGAGATAAGACTTGTTTGCTCCACAGCCCATCAGTTTGTGCTATTTGAAAGCTGTTTGCTTCACCAATAGAAATCTGCCAACTTGTGCTTTTTGAATGATTAGCCAGTCATGATGTAACTGTGTGATGTTTTAAGAGTTAACCAATCATGAGTGTAACTGTGTGGAATCCCCTAATCTGTGATAAAACCCCCACGCCACCCTGTCTCGAGGTCTCAAGCCAGAGCCACTACAATGGTGACAGCTGGGGCCCTGAGCTCGAGCTTGAATAAACTGCCCTGTGAGCTTCTATTGACTTCAGACTCCTGGTGATTTTGAGGAAACTCTGAATCTGGGTGTGACAACCCCGTACTGGCTGGCATAGCCAAAGGTCAGGAATGAGGTCACCTCAGATGAGGTTTCTTTTTTTGTTTTTTAAGATTTATTTATTTTTATTGGAGAGGTGGACATACAGAGAGGAGGAGAGACAGAGAAGATCTTCCATCTGATGTTTCACTCCCATGTGGTCGCAACAGCTGGAGCTAAGCCAATCCGAAGCCAGGAGCCAGGAGATTCCTCTGGGTCTGCTACACAGGTGCAGGGTCCCAAGGCTTTGGGCCATCCTTGACTGCTTTTCCCAGGCCACAAGCAGGGAACTGGATGGGAAGTGGAGCTGCCAGGATTAGAACCAGTTCACATATGGGATCCCAGCACATTCAAGGTAAGGTCTTTAACCGCTAGGCTATCACGCCAGGCTCAGGTGAGGTTTCTTGAGAGACTCCCCAATTAGACAGCTGGACTGAAACCTCAGCGGCAGCGAAAATCACAGTATATGTGGTCCAGTCTTGGAGTGCACATGTCAGGACTGGGCCTGCTCAGTTGCTCATGCCTGAGCAGTGAACATTGTTCCCAGATGCACACAGGGAACACAGCAGCCAGCTCATCTAGGAAGGAAAAGTGACTGCCTCATCAGAGGATGAAAAACAAAATAGGATGAGCAATTCTCCTGGCCAAGGTTTGCAGCATGTTCCTGGATCTGCGGTTGCACTAAGGTGGACTTGGTCAAGCAATAGACCTTGGAAAGACTTTCCCTACCCTGGTGCAACAAAGCAGATGATGTCTCAGAACTACCAAAACCACTCACTTGGCACCCTTGAAACACTGTTCCCTAACATTGGAGTCTCTAAGGCAACATCAAGTGACTGTCCCCCATCCCTGGTTATTGATACAGTGTGACAACAAAGAGTGGCCCCTCCTCTTCCCCCTCTTTGGACACAGAAGAACTAGAAATCTGAAACATTTGTCCCACTCACCTTCCTCCATACTAAACTCCAGCCTAATCAGAGGCCCACATATGCATGCATGCCTCTCAACTATGTAAACAGTGTCAAAAATCTAATAATAAAAATTAGAAAAAAGTACTAAGTGGGAAAAGAAAGAGAAAGGAAGAGAGAAGAGAATTTGCTCAAGGAAAATTCCCAAAGACTGCACTATGGAACTCTATTCCATGCCATTGTACATTCATCAAGAGTGGCATCAGCGACAGCATTGTATTCAGTGTAATGTATTTTAAAAATCGCATCTCACTGTGTTAAGACCCTGCAGTTTCCAAACTCTGTATAGAGCACGTTTTTCCAATTAGTTGTTAATCTCCTGGGATGTTAACATGTCCACCCCCAAACAGAGGAAAGATCTAACTCGATCCATCTCCCATAAACAGAAAACAGTATGCACTGCATGACGTTGCAGTTGTAGTTGATAGGATTACTAGCAGCAGCAGGAATCACCAGTGTGTGCTGTTAAAGCGCACGTAGAGGGCCTGGCACGATGGTGGAGTGCTTAAAGTTCTTGCCTTGCACACGCTGGGATCCCATATGGGAGCCGGTTCTAATCCCAGCAGACCTGCATCCCATCCAGCTCCCTGTTTGTAGCCTGGGAAAGCAGTCCAGGACGGCCCAAAGCCTTGGGACCTTGCAACTGCATGGGAGACCCAGAGGAATCTCCTGGCTCCTGACTTTGGATTGGCTCAGCTCCAGCCATTGTGGCCACTTGGGGAGTGAATCATCAGATGGAAGATCTTTGTCTCTCTTCCTCTCTATATTTCTGATTTTTCAATAAAAATAAATAAATCTTTAAAATAAATATCAAATCTGTTCCCTTCCTACAACATTTAATTAAGAGTTCTTAATATAATTTTACTGATCTGCTACTGTTTTTAGTTAGTCCTGCATTCTCTATATCTTTGTAAATTCATGAATTAACTTTTTTCTATTCTAGAAAGAATCAGAGACCTGCAATGCCAGGGTAATGAAAGATGTGGCTCTCATGTACTATTTACATACTTACTAGCTCAGCCAGCCTTGAGTTTCTGAATTTATGTAGTTTTTTTTTTTTTATGCTTATTCATTTGAAAGAGTTACACAGAGAAAGAGCCAGATAGAGATCTTCCATCCACTGATCCATTACACAAGTGGCCTGGTGGCCAGGCTGAATCCAGGAGCTTCTTCTGGGCCATCCGTATGGCTGCAGGGGTCCAAGCTTTTGATCCATCTACCACTACTTTCC